CACCGAATGTCCCCCTTATGCTCTCATCGACCCTGACTGTCACTTCTACCTTGTCGCTTAGACTCACATCCTTATTTTTCACGAAACTTTGAAGTATGCCCCAGGGGTCTCCACTACCTTAAATACCTTAGATGAACCATCTTATTGGACTTTTAATCGATATTATCCCTTAAAGAGACATTATCAAGTGAGGGTAGTAACCATTTAATGCTCACTTTATATGTTCATTATTATTATTATCCCTTAACTCAATTTACTTTACGAAATAAGCCTTCTTTTGAGCTTCCATTCGCCTAAAGAACCTCTTCACTTGGTGCCTTTTCCCATTGAAAAGGCTTCTTGATTTTTCCAATCCACAGTTATTCTTGCTTTATCCTATGGTTACCTTTCATTCAGATTGGATGGTGAGCTTGAACCCACCTGTAGTCGCTCATCTTAGTCGCAGATAAAAATGGTAATTCTTCTTGACAGAAGAAATCGCTTGCTTGGAAGGTATAATACTAGACATATCGATCTTAGCTTCTTCCATTCATCATGATTTATCAAAAGAGTTGCCCTGATGTACGCCAACATACGGAATCAAAGCATCTCGACTACGAGAATAGGCCCGATAAGTATATGCAACTAAATAACCTAAAAGCGATGTGCTTTAAATGCTAACTTTAGCTAACTTTAATGCGCCCTTGCTAAGTGCTTCAGATTTCTTCCAAAATTTAATACTCGACCACAATGACTTCAGGCCTTCCCCTCTTGTTCCATCCAAATAATGACCGCTCTCTTAGAGCATTTTCGGAAGTTTCACTTTGCTATTTTTAGAATGTTAAACAACCTTAAGCTTTCATAAAAGAAATGCTTCGCATATTACAGATGATTAACATTACTCTTGAAAGCTCAAAAACTAATGACTCTAGCTACTCTCGTTAGCCTACTTCATAGCGCATTACAATTCTAAACTTACTCTGAATAGTGAAACAATAGCGATTTTGAAGCTATCGAAAAATATTTCATTTTGAGTTTGAAGATGCGTCATTTATTATGGAATATTTTAGCTGCTTAGTATAAAATGGATTGTAGAGAATTAGTGTATTATTCGAGAAAGTCACTCAATTCACTGTATCCCAAACTTGGTTCTAAACCACGGTGGATTGCATATGCTACCTCGCCTAGGCAGAAATCAACCATTGGGCATGCGAATTCAAAGCTCCTTTGTTTAATTTTCTTTTGGAAGAGGAGCTTTACGAGTATGCAAGGATAATCCCCATCATTCGATAGGCTAGTATGAGATGCTTTGAGAGCAGCCGTCCTGAATTTGCAAGTTTAATTACCATTTTGCATACACAAATATACATATATATATATATATATATATATATATATACGCAGAGAATTTGATTGCAGAAATCGAAGACCCTGTTTGCGTCATGCCATCTTTTTATAGAACTGGAAACTAGCTTGGAGGTAGTGTGTCTAGAAGGAAATCACACATAAGCCAAATTACTCTACGGGTATTGGAGGCAATCTCATTAATGAAGTACAAGGTCCAAGCTTTTATTGGTGAAGTTTTTCTTATGCAAAATATGTACTATAAACCAATCCCAACTCATTAACTTCCCATCTGGAAGCGCCATACATCACCTGGCCAGTTTATCTTCGTCTCTCTGGTAGGCTTGATTTGACCCATCATAATGTATTTTTTAACAAATAGGAATAAAGTAAAAAAAGTAAACATTAATATAGAATATACATGTTCCTCAGCAAAAGAAACTAGTTAAATGGTGCAAAAGGTTTTGGCACCAATTCGGGGGAAAGGGTGATGCCTTCTCAGCAGCAATTCATTACTTATGCAGTCTTGTAGAAGTCTATTCAGTCACCAGGTTTTATTATTTTATGACATCTTATCTACCAGAGAAATGTGAGTTCTGACTTGCCTCGAATATTGTTGTAGTAACGTATCCAGGATACTCACAAATCCATATAGAATCTCGCTGGTGGTGTTGATGCAACCAAGGTGAGGTCAAGACGAAAGCCAACTCTGGATGAGACTAACATTTGGAGAGCCAGGCTAAGTGAAATTCAACACAACCATGCGACACTTTCATCTGACTATGAGAAAACTCAACTATCAGTACTTTAATCAATTTAAGCGACCAAGTGTAACTAAATTCTTATCCAAGAATTGCGTGTTCAATTCACATCGAAATTAAATTATTCATGCAATTTGGAGTTTGAGATTTTTATCTAGGGTCAGCTCTCGATTAATTGTGTCTGTCAATTTACCTAAAATAGCCTTCACTGATCAATATGTATAAAAGTTGTGTCTCGGAAAATCTTCTTATAATTTCATTTTGATGGAAGTCACCCGAAACTACTTTTGTCCAAGAGTTCCTACTTCCTAACAAACATTCCTAACTCCTCGTTCCGGTTAGGCTATACATAAGGTTTAGTGAAATGAGATTTGATTTACACTTCCTTTTTCAAATATTGGTCAGGAAAAAAGACAAAAATCAGAAGACAGTGATTAGATGTTAAACAAACTGTGTTAAGCCCTAGCAGAAACCATTTACACAATAATTGGTAGTTTGATAAAAGCAGACGCTTATCTACCGGAGTCCACCGGCTTGTTAGAAGTTATAGCCCAAACTGTACTGATTACAAGCACATTAGAAGAGACAAGCCACACTTGGATTGAAAATAGCCCAATGGGCAACAGTTAATAAATTGCCAAAAGAGGTCGCAGACGCCGGCCTCTATTGCCTCTATTGCCTCACCCGTCTGCCTCGGCCCTAATGAACATGAGACTTTGGGTTTACGAGATAACTGGGCTGCCCAACCGCCTGTGAAAACCACTGTGCAATTCGGACGATGGCACCCAGGGCCCAGCAACAGGGTTTGGCGGCCTGTCCAAATTGCAACAGCAAGTGGGTTGGTTGATTTGGCCATCACTAGGCGCATCCCCTTCGGTCGTCGCTTTGGCCTCCCTTCTCTGCGGCAAACACCGACAGGACACAGACGATCTGATTATGAGTCAGACATACCTTCTCGAGCCTGGGGTCCACGTAGCCACTCTGTCAACATACACTTCCACACAGCTTATCTCCTTCGCCCAGCCACCCACATGCACACACAAACACAAGGCACATTCAATTCTCCCAGCGTACTTAGACCAAGGGGCCAAAACCCATAGCAGGTTGCCTCGGCATCACGTTAAGGGCCTCTACCTCCATCCGGACGTGTTGTGAATTCATGTGTGTGTGTGTGTGTTTGTGTATACAGCCTAGGCGGCACCGCCTATTAGCTGAGACGTCAAGCCTGTCCGGTCATAATGCTAACGCCTCGGTCATATGACTCCACAGCGCACGATAGTCAAATGCTCTAGTGTGGCCTACGCATGCTTGTGCCTAAATGTGTGTGCGTGTATGTGTGTATGTGTGATTAAGATATCCCACAATTTGGAGTTGAAGCATTAGTGGGGAGGGCCTTGAGGCCTAGACAAAGCTCATACAACGGCTGAACATAGAGGGCCTAGGCAGGGGCAGTTGAGTCTGGAGCTATACGACAATCCCGGTGCCGGGCGGAAGGAAGAAGCGGAACAAGGGAGTTTGCGAAGGCGGTTATCAAGGCCTCGGAGAGCGATGGTAGTGAATTTGGGAGTTTGTGTAGGAGTCGTAGAAAGAGAGATAGAAAGAAAGAGAGAACGAGTAGGAAAATGAAAAAGGGAGTAGGAGACAGAACTGCTGGACGCAGACGAAAGAGGTTGCGATAGCGAGAGAAGGCTGGAGATATTGGGGATGAGGAAGAGAGCGCTGGCAGAATGGGTCAAAGGTCAGCTGAATACGGTCAGTCTAGCAGACCTCGGTATGTTTGCCTTCTTGAACTGCTAGCCTCAACACGCTTGATCAGGCAAACACGTGTCCGAGGGGCGAGAAAGAACAATAAACACAATGAATCAGACTAACACTCCAGCATTAGCATACACATGTGCAGAACAACACACATACGAACACAAATATCAGTCCCAAAATATGGTCGACGCAGGGTGAGATCTGTTAGTTTTAGTGAAACCAGTCATCACGACTTCGTGTCCAATTTCTATTTAACCAATAAATCGCTCCATCCCCGTTGACAAAATGAGGTGTTTGGTTCAAGAGCTAAAATGGTTGGGATAACAACACTTTCATCTTTCCATTCCCTTAGGACAAGGTACTTCCAATAATTATCTCCACTCAATTCGTTGCAGCGTTTGTAGTCACTTATCGGCCTCCGAGTTTAGCAGGATTTACCGGAGGATCAAAACAACATTAACTTATGATACTAATAACTTTGAGAGACTACTTGCATAGTACAAAGGGAATGTCAGTACTTTCTCACCCATCTTGTCTTAATAGTACGTTCACCATCTGCACATTCATTTAGGGAAACATTACGCTGCAGACAAGTGTTAATGTCCGATTGCATCCGTAGCTTCTACAACCAGCCAGCTTTGATTGTCATGGTAAATGATCCCTTTAACAGACCATGACTATGAGGTGATGATGGTTAAGATGGTTGCTTCACTCTATTTCTTCCCATACACGCATTCAAACACTTGTGCAAATATTTATATATAGAAAGCTAGAAAGAGAGTGAAAGTGATATGAAGAGAGCGAGGATAAGAAAAGAAGTTGGTCAAAGCACACAAGCAGGATTTGATCACGAAAAATTTTTATTATTAAGCTAAGCAAGCTTGTATCATCCCAACAAGTAGAAAAAAGGGCAGCTAACTTATATTTTTAAAGAGTGGACTGATCTCGTTTTTGCAACTTGGTCTTGTTGTCAGGGCGACTTAGTAGAACACACCTAGTCTGAAGTCGT